ACTTGTTTCAAGAGTTTTCTAAAATAAAGATCTTCCATATTGGAGCTGAAATGATTAGTTTAACAATTAGCTGTAAGTCTTTTAGTATCTTAGTGTATTTTGAGAATGATTTGAGTCACTTTTCAGGCAAAAATGTTAACCATTTGCTGGTTTCGGACTTAAGTTTGCATATTTTCCTGCTTCTCTGTTTTATATCATTGTAAATTAAATATCTTTAGGTTTTTGGCCTGCTACTTGGACAGAACTCTGGTAAATTGTGATGGGCATTTATCCCGTTATTTATTTTATTATTTATTTTAAATTTTAGAGAGAAAACAGTCTAATAATTGAGGCAGAAAATGGTAGATACAATGGTCGATAACAAATTCCAGATTTGGGAAAAATAAAAAAACTGGATCAAATAAACAGTTTCTTCACTTGTTTTAAGGAAATGAAACTTTGACTTGATACGATGCATAAATTGGATAATTCATTGATAATATTATTATAGCAGTACTGTACAGCCTATGGTTCAGATACTGGCAATGAAGTATTCTTTAATAGGTTTTAATGAGAGAGGTTGTCACACGTTTTTAACATCTCAGTTGTAGCACTAACATACCGTAGGTACAGATTTCACCAATCCTCATTTTACTTGACAAACACATGGAAGGCTGGTCTGTATAAAACAAGTTTTCAAGCATGTAGGGCACAAATTTACACTTATTTCCACCTGTAACACCAGTAGTTTGTAGACAAACATGCGGGACAACAGAGACATGCGGCTAACACACACACACACTCACACATATGTCTTTTAGCTGTGTTGTTCTAGAGTTTGATAAGAGGGGAAAATGTACGTGATATTATGGGAATGAGGTGTGCTGCAGGTCCATGGTGGATGTTGAAATGTCAGACGCAGAGTGAATATGTAGTATCACAAAGGGCTCACACAAACACACTGACACATGCACACACACTTTTCTTTTAGAACAGGGGAGTTGTTTAAGATGTTTTCAAGGTTAGCGTGCAGGGTGAAAATTACAACGCCTTCTTTGTCGCGCACAAAACAGAGCAATATTTGCTCTCAATGATGTATCTACCGACTGTGTTTTATCTCCACCCCATTTTTATTTTCTTAACAGTCATCATAACGGCGTTCTTCAGTTTGACCCTGTTGATTCCTGGAATTGCATCATTACTGGCTTCTGATGTGGTTCTTTGTTATGAACCCAGACTAGTTTGGAACTCATTTATTTCTGAGCTGCTTTTTATTTAATTTTTTTTTTTTCCCGTCATCTCACTCAATCTCAGGCGCTCTGCGTCTGTAGTGTTTTCAGCACCTTGACAGTTATAAAGCTGAGAGATGCTGAGCATCGAGGCTTCCACCTTGAATAGATCGATGCTTGTAACGCTTTTCTGAATTGCATTTTTACACCTACTTTGACCAAATTATCAATGCCAAGTCGAGAAATTCTCCAGACCAGATCACTATTGCTTTGAAGGCTATTTGTCGTGTAAACCTTGTTGGTTTGATCCTCAGTGGACATGCTGATGGTTGTAATTATCAGAAAGAAATGTGAACTTTTTGTGGAATGACAAAAAAAAATACAGTGTACTGATGGATGTTTGGTAACGTGAAATAGAGAGCAAAGACGAGTGTGGGATGAACCATTTAATACAACAAGAATTTTTCTGTGTCAAAAAAAAAGGGTTCGAAAGCGTTATTGGTGCCTTTTTTAATGTTTTATACAACCTTTCTTTTGATATAATGCTCTGTTTGTTCCTTGTCCATTGACAACAAGCTACTCTAAAAATGTATAAATACTTATTTGTTCTTTGCTGTGAATAATTTGTAATTTGCTACTTTGTTCTACTAGACTTGTGAAATAAATTCAAGCCTTTTATAAATGGAATAATTATCACTGGAATAATTTCAAATGTCTTAAAACAGACTGGATGCCAGTTTACATTTGTACCATGTGATCAACACCAATTAAGATTATAGTCAGCCTAATTTCAGTTTACTAATAATATTGTACAAGTGTGAACACAGAGTATATGCATATTGTACTGTTATATAGGGCTGCAGCTAACAATTATTTTCATTATCAAATAGTAAATTAATGGTTTTGTCTATACAATGACAAAAAAGTTCCCACAGCCCAAAGGTGATCTCTGCAAATGTCTTGTTTTTTCTGACTAACAGTTCACAATCCAAAGATATTAAATCATGTATGACAAAGAAAAGCATCACACACTGATGTTTAAGAGGAAGGAAAAAGCAAATGTTTGGGATTATTGCTTGAATAAATTAACAATTATTTGATTATCAAAGGAGTAGTGCACCACTACTGTTTTATATACATGCATATAACATGAAGATATGCAACTCATCATCTACAACTGTGCAAAATACAAAAAAATTATTTGAATATAATAATTGTTGGCAGACAATTGGAGAGCCTTCATTTTAACATCAGTCTGAGTCTGAACAGTGTTTGTGAGAGACCAGCAGAGGGCAGACCAGTACAAGAGTGTATACTTCAGGTTGAGGCGCTCCTATTTGCTGATCAGCTTTTATTTGCCCAAACAAATGGGCTTCAGATGCTGTATTGTAACAGTGCTTGAATCCCCAAATCTTTATTTTTAGTAAATTCAAGTCCTGCTTGACATCAGGTGAAAAGTCCCTCTGCAAAAATGGTCAGTCCAATAAGAAATGTGGTCCTATACTCAGCCTTCAAACCTGATTTTTCTTAAACTGATAACCACTGGTATGGGATTCTTTGACTTGTTTCCAGTGAAGATGCTTTTGTTTCAGACCGCCTTGAAATGATGGTCAATATCTTGTGTTAAAACATATCACTGCAGAAAAACGTAATTTCATTCTTCAAACCTACCTGGTGTGAAATGATCTCTTAAAATTTAAAGATGCAGGAAGCCTTGTAAAATGTAGATTTCTCCTACTGCAGTTCATAATAATCTTTTTGAAGTGAGAATTTGTATAACATTTGGACTGCAGCTACAGGCAGCAGACACACTTTAGCACAAATGTTAGGCACAACTATACTAAACTAGTATACACAGTGCAGATTTGATTTGAACAGCGACCTCCAAATCAAGTTTTTTTTCATTGTCACTCCTTTTCTCTTTGAGGTTTAATAGATGTGAATGCTTTGATTTGACTGATAGTTTCAATATTTTGTGCAGGAGTTCTCTTCCTACTCAATCATTGTTTTTAATGTCTTAAAGGATGGATAGTAGTAAGCATACAGAGTAATGCATTATTAGCAGTGGGCACAGACCAAAATTAATCTGCTCTGCCATTATGATAGAAGAAATAATTACCATAAAAAAATCAATGTCCTGTAAACATGCATTACACAATGAGGTGGAAGATTAAAAAGGAAGTTTCCCCTGTAAACCTCTAATAGGAGTTCCACATTAATAATGGCCTCATTTCCAGCTCTTATTATAGTCATACTCCATATCTAACCAGGCTGGAGACTCTCAAGTGCTTATTAAAAAGGTTAATTCTAAAAACCACAAATGAAGCCCTTAAGGATAACGGGAACAAAAACTAGTGTACTAATCCTATCTGGCCAGAATCTGCTTGTAGACACTAGAAGAAACAATAAACCAGACACGAGTCCTCCAAGTGTTTTCATCATCCCTCCCTCCCCCATCTACACCAGAGAAGGTAGAGGGAAAGAAAGAGACGATAGCATTACTCACAATCCATTACCACTCCCTGGAGACGCTCTGCATACAGAGTGATAGAGGAAGAGTGGTGGTGGTGGGGAGGGGGGGTTGGTAGTGTGAGGTAGAGAGAGGGGTTTGGCTTTGGAGGGTGTTTGTTTGCCAGAGGGCCGGTGGTAAGGCAATATGAAACTTGATTATTCCTTTTCAATAACCGTCTGCTGAGCATCCCGTGGAGACGTCGCAGGTTGCTGATTAGTTCGTCAAAATAATAGAAGGCTCTTGAATAGCCTTGTTAAGATGTCTAACTTTAAATACAGGCGGCAGCCCAAATCATTGTTCGCTCTGAAGCATACGATAATGATGGATTGACTGATGCAGAGGGATGTTCCTGCGCTCAACTATGCAAGGAAAATAAGTAAATTAATAAATAAACATAAATGTACTAATGATGTAAAGAAAATAGTTAAAGGGTGAAAAATTATAAGTTGTTAAGGGTCCAGTAAAGTAAGCATATCAAATATTGTCAATAATGTGATAAATTAAGGCAAATATCAAAAGATGTGAATTAGAGTGGCTTCTTGGTTCTGCTTTTAACAGTACTGGATCTGAATAGGGATAGTTTAACTTTGGTCCAGTGCAGTTGGTGGAAAATCTTAAACTGTATAAAAGTCATTCATTCATATTGAAGATGAATATATTACCCGCATCACCTTTGACCACATGGATTCTGAAATTTCTATACCCAGATCCACCTCCCACTGGCCTTTAAGGGAGTGAGGACTCATATTTTCTCTCATTAATAAAGAATATACAGAATGTGACCTATTTTCCCTTTCTGGATGATGTGATGTGATTGAGCCTAAGACTGTGTCTGGGAGCTGTGAAGGGAATTGAGTGATTCGAAGATATGAAGCTGCGAAAAGTATCTGAAGAAGTGAGACCTGGAAATGGTGAATTTCTGAACAATCTGCTCAAAAGAGGCAAAACAGACATTCATGAACATGTTTTTAAATGAACAAATCTTGGGCAATGTGTTAATTCTACCTGCCAGAGATAAGAGTAACAGATCCCAAAGACCAACATCCCCCTTATGACGGGACAGGAGAGTTGAGAAATTTGCTGAGAAAAGGTCTTTATATTTGTGTGTGATGCAGACACTTGCATGCATTCTCTCATTCTCTCGCTGCCAAATTTATGGGCAACATGTCACTTTTTTGTGTGTTCACAAACCAGAAATGTTGCCAAATTCACTTAAGAGATTAAGAACAGGGATGAGAAGGGGTCAGACAGATAGAAGGCTGCAGCCATTTTTTTTTTAAGTTTGTTTATTTTTAAGGGCAGATGATATACAAAGTGCTGGAGTAACAATACTTGGAGATATATTTGTTTTAAACATTAATACAGAGTCTGTACATTTAGTATTTTACACTTACAGTATAGGCATCACAATGGTTTGTACACTCTTTCACCCACTAAATGCTCAATTTGGTTGAATTTAAACTTTTTTACCCCCCCATGGTTGTGGCCTCACATCCAGTTTCAGTGCCATCTGTCCCTCTCCTGGAGTTTCACTCACTTTAATCCATCTGTTACCTCTAAAACCATCTCAGTGTGGCACCTCCCCACCATCTTGCCCCCATACTGAATTTCACTGCAGTGCTTTGATTTTGAAGGTCGCTACAGTAGCATGTTGAACATCGCTAATTTGTACAAAAGCCACTCCGAAGTCTCGCAGGCAGCCCACAGGAGTTCTCTGGAAGCATTTTTTTGTTCATATTTGACAGAAAAACAGACAACATTAATTGTAAACACACACTTTCACTGTTAATATGGCTTTTTGTTTTTGAAAAATACTCATATCTTACACTAGATTTGACATATCAGAAACAAACAAGCTTTCAAAGGTGTTGATTGTACAACTTTGAAATCTTATATACATTTACTGAAAGTCTTTGAATAATTTCCCATATCAAAACGTATCCAAAATCAGTGACTTTACTGTACAAATGACTGTCTGCGGTACCCAAATCTGAAAAAATGGTTTTCACTGGTTTCACTTTTGACCCATGATGTGGAGTGCCCTCTCTTGTAATCATCTGTTTCATTTTCTAATTGTCTTTCAACACAAGTGTTGGCTGTAGAGTCACATAAAATGCACCACAGCTCAGCTCACAAACCTTTGCAGGGACTTAAGAGCCAAAATTCCCAGACAAGCCATCATCTGATGTATATAGTTACTTCAAATGGTGTCCATGCACTCACTTCAGATAAACATTACACTTTGGTAAACATTTGACAGGTTTCCAGAGAATGACGGGGCAGTAAACGGGTGATGGGAGTAAAGCCAGGATGAGGAAAAACTGGAAAGGTCGCTGCAGACATTTAGTCCATCAAGCACTGAGGCTGGAAAAGCAGCAACTGGGAGAACTGGGTCATAGTTAAACCAAGAGGAACCTGTTTAAAGTAATAGCCCCTGATTAGAGTAATTGGATTCAAGAAACAGGTTTTAGGTCTCAAATCAAAACCTCGACTTCCCCAGCCTCTGAACTCCACTTCCTGGTTGGCTCGCTGCCCCTTTAGCCCAGGATATCCAGGTAAACCGGGGGGTTCTTGACCAGGGCCAGCAGACGGCTGTGGATGTCCTTGATGATCATCCTCTGCTGGGGCTCTCTCTGCCAGCAGCCCTGCATCAGCAGGTACACCTCCTTGGGGCAAGTGCGTGGCCTTTCCAGTTCCCGTCCCTGTGTGATGCATTCGATTGCCTGTTGGGATGGGAATTCCAAAGAATTATATATTAACAGGATATATTGTGTATCTGTTCTCAGTTACTCCAGGACAAACAAGAGACATCGTGTCAGTTCAACCTGAGACCTCAGCTCTCTGGTGATTAACTTCAAATTCGCCAACAAACTGACTTCTCTTTATTTAAATCAGTTCACCCAAATAAAATAAAAAAAGTAGAGCCTGATCAATACTAGTTAGTTTAGAGGCCAATGTGGATAGCCTACTTGAGATTTTAGACAAGACTGAAAGTCTACAGCCCCACTAGCAGCTCTATGAGGCAAAATGCTAAGATCAGCATGTTAACATTCAATATTTATCATCTCAGTTTGCACTGGCTAATTAGCACTAAACGCAAAGTACAGCTTGTATGCTAGCAATATTCCTTAGATGGTAGTAACATGACTGGATGACCTTGTTGTTTTCCTCAAAAGTGAGTTTAGTGTGAAAGAACACACCCAGGTTCCTGACATTTGGTTTAACATTAATTGATAAGGGACCAAGAGAAGACGGGATACAAAGGTGCATATTGTCACTACCAATGACAAAGATCTCAGTTTTACTGGAGTTTAATTTACAAACAGTTTTAGACATTTTTTAAGACTGGAGAGGTTTGGAGTCTCGTAGACTTTACTGGGAGATACAGCTGTTACTACACTAGCAGTGGAATGAAATTGTATGTCTATGTTTAATGTGGCCAAGTGGGAGTAAATGAAAATAAAATCGGTCGACCCCTGAGGGACTCCACAATGTGAGTGAGGGGAGACATGGTCACCAATAGAAACAAAACATTTCTGATAATGACAATAAAGTTGAATGTAATTTATCAGCCACTTCAGAGCTGTCTAATATCTACCAACCCAGCGCTTCAGAATTTTGTGGTCATTTGTGTCAAAAGCTGCACTAAAATCTAGCAAGGACGGATCCTAATAAGCACAGTCTCAGACTCTCTCGCACAGGCAGTCTTCAAATCTTCTGGGACACAGCCAGAGGATAAAGAACTGTTGATTATTGAGAGCAACCAAGGGGCAGTCACATCCATTACTTGCCAGAGACATTTAGGAGGCATTATGTGCTTGATGAGCGTTTGATGTGCGCCACAGTGATCATAAGCTCATTTAAAAAAACTGGCATAAAACTTGGGGCAGTGGACATCAATAAAATAATCAGCAGACACAATTTTTGATTGTATCTCACAGATTATATCATTAAAAAGGTTAAAAAACTTAGACATTCTTCACTAGATGACAGTGATTAAAACGTACAGGATTTAAAAGATGGTCCATAGTGTTAAGAAGATCTCTGGGACTGTGCGTTTTAGTATGAATTAAAACAGTGAGTAGTTGGTTGTCACATTACTAACCTGTTTTCATTAAAATAAATCATCAACTTTTTCATTTGATGATAATATACATGAAACCTTGTTCTTCTCCACCTCTGTTCCACATTATTTTTTGAATAAATGACTAACCCCTGGTTGGGAGTCACTGATGGGACTGAGGAACGATGTTGCTGCTGTTTCTTTAATGTAATTTTTCAATGCTTTGAGCACCACATGATATTACACTCAGCTACATTGTACTGAAGAGGCAGCAGAAATTTAAAAGACAGATCAAAACATGGGCAAATAAAACAAAGCTGCATGGCAAAATGTAATTAAATTCTTATAGTGTGTAAAATTCATTCAGAGAGACTTTTTGAATCAGTAATGGTGCACCAAGGACAAACAGATTGGCACAACAACCTTAGTTATCTACAGATTTACAGATGTGTCCATTAGCAGACCTCTGGGACAAATGAGAGCAGCAATAATATGAATAACCTCCATCTCTGACACTAATGGCTACGATGACTGATTGAGTTCACACCCTCTTGATGCTCAATGAATAAATCACTGTCGAGGATGAGAGAGAGAGGATTTCACAGCGCTCTTCGTTTGAAGGGTTACTGACTCAATCTCTTTGCCATTGTTAACTTTGGCTTGATACAATGAACAGAAGAGGCCTGTCAGCGCTGAGCGTCTTCACGCCAAAATGGCCCGTCAGTCAGCCTCACAGCTCAACAAAAACACTCATAACGGCCGCCAAAAATGGCCTCTGTAGCCACGGCATGCCAAGCCAGTATTTTGGGATGATTTATCTTCACTACTGCGTGTTTAGGCAACATGATAATTTCACCTGTCCCTCATTGGCCGAGACAGATTAGGTTAACAAGGTTAAAGCTCATTGGCCCTGGGCAAAAATGAGAGCCAATCAGATTAGAATTGAGTGCCTGGGAAAAGTGATCTACCCTTCTCTTGAAAGGAGAGAGGGTTTCGGCCTGTAATAGCACCACTGTGGTCCCACTTCTTGGTGCTCGAGCTGAAAAGGCTAGACCAGACTGTCCTTAATTACTATGAACGTATTGATTAGTTTAAGAGTGCAGAGCGGTGAAAAACTTCAGCAACATATGCTCTGAAGACTCTATGACTACAATGAAAATGTTTTGTTCTGCAAGTTTCAATTATGTGAAAACAACCAAACATTTCAAGCTGTCATTACAAATATGTTTGCACTAGTATGGGATGAAATAAATCAAAGTTAATTTAACATATTTCAATAAATTTAAAGTGGCTATAATAAATATTTTTATACCAACAATTAATCAAATGATAATGTGAAAACAATGTGACAATTTGAAAGAGGTTGCTTGTAAGTGATGAATCACATGAATCTGCAGCTCCCTTCAGCTTCATAGAGCTTAAGTTTCAGTTCATTTTACTGTTACTTTACTGTTTTAGTTCACTCTCACTGCTCTCATAGCATTTTCAGCCACAGTAGTCAGTTGTTTTCAGTGAAAAAGCTCAAAAAACACACTGTGCACTGTGCTCAACACCACAAAGCAGACAGACACAGTTAGCGACTAGCTACTGAAGCTGTGGAGCCACAGTAGAGACCAAAAATAGAGCTAAAAGAGAGCAAATAATGGACATGGCCAAAAACACCTCTCCAAATGAATGATAATGTTGCTGTTTTCTGACAAATTTGCTAAATCAATTTAAAAGGTGATGATATGTCAATCTTGTGTTCAAAACACTGACATTTTGGGAAATATGCTTATTTGATTGTTTTTCGAAACTAATTAAAAAGTTGTATCTAGCGGTTTAATCTGTACCAAATTAAGTGTAAGTTGTGGTTTTATGGGGAGTTAAGTATTTGACAAGTTAGGCTAGTTTTCGGTAGCTTTGCTAGCTTTTCTACTACTGTAGAAGGTCAACAGCAGTTTTACAGTAAAAACACTGTAAAAGTTCAACAGTAAACTTAGTAAATCAGTTTGTTTGGAAATACCAGAAGGAAACAATCACACAAGATAATTCCCTGTAGTTTCAACTGTCCAGTTCAAAGGGACAGTTCACCCAAATCACACAAAATACCCCAATACAATTTAGTCACTAGCCAGATAGCCTCAGATAGTTTTAGTTTCATATGTTGAGGTTTGGAGATCAAATTCAATCACCCCATGCCAAAATAAATTCTGATATCTGACAGGAAATCTGAGCACACAGTATCAAGTTAAAACGGTGAAGTACTAATCTCTGTCCACAAGGGCAGAGAAGAAGCACTCTGTCATGAGAAATTTGGACACTCTGGGTGAGCCACAATCATTCGTATTTGCCACACAAATAAAAAATGTAGTTTACTGATGTCCTGTTGTTGTTCTCTTGGGTTTTAATATGCTTCCTAAATACCAGCATTGATATAAAAAAATTACTAAAATGCTTCCTAGCAACAAGAAAGAATAAATTATTTGCCAATAACAGATAGCTTCTAAGTTGTTATTGACCTTCAAAGTTGCCGATTAACTCTCAACCCCAACCCACCTCACTGTTGGAAAGCTGGTACCAGGGCTGTTTGCCGTAGGTGAAGATCTCCCAGAGGACCACGCCAAAACTCCAGATGTCACTCTCTGTGGTGAACTTCCTGTACATGATGCTCTCTGGGGGCATCCAGCGGATTGGCAACATCGTACGTCCACCCACCTGAGGAGGAAGACAAGGCAATGAATGTATGCTAACTCTACACCCAGTATCATTTTTTATGCAAGGGAATGTAAAGCAGATCATATTATATGTATTGTATAATGGAAGTCTCAGGGTGAAAGTTTAACTGTCCTGCTTTGTTGATGGAAATAAGAAGAGATGTCATTTTTTTAATAACACAGACATTCACAAGCAAACCTCTAACAGATTCCTATTCCTGTTCATCCTTGAACTACCTATGACTAACTGGTAGAGCAACTGGAAATCAATGTGAGGCAGATAATCCAGACAATAAGACTTTTAACATCCAAAATAGCTTAAATTCAGAGTATTTTAATTCAATGTGAAAAAGAAAATGGACATACAGACACCCAAATCATGGAGGGCAATCCAGTCTGTGCTTTGCTAGAGTGTTCAGAGGAGTTGTCCATTGACATGGTAATGTCATTAATGACTGGAGTGCGTGAAAAGCACTGTTTCACTTATGTGAAAAGAAGGAGGAATCTTTATTAGCGCAAATTCATCTGTTTGAGAAAGAAATCATGCAAATCAAAATGACGTTTGCAAATCAGAATCAGGTGATTTTCAACTTCTCAGATCCCACAGAAACCTCTCAAACTGAAAAACAGCAGCACTCATAATCAGTTTGGTTGAAAACTTTCCCCAAATAGAATATAGTTAATACAATGAAGTACTCCGCAGTCTCTCACAGGTTACTAGTTACATACATTATTAATCAAAATGTACAATAAACTACGCTCACATTTTAAGTCAAGTGCAACATGTCTCTAGACAATTTCTATTTCAAAGGGACATATTTTAATTTCAAAAAAAGTAACAATTAACTTTACAAACTAGCTGATAGCCTCAGAATTAAAAGTTTATTATGAACATTGAAGGAATTTGACTTTTCAGCAGCTATCAATACTCTAAGTGCTCACAGAATAAACTTTTGTTTCATGTTTAAGCTAACAAAAATGTGAACTGTATTTACAGCTTGTGGCTTAAACAAAAAATAATTAGCTGGTTTGTTTACATTAGATTTTGGTTGATAGTTTGATAAAACACTGAGATTCGATCCTCTAATTTTTTTAATGCTGAATGTTAGAAATCAAGGTATGATCTTCCCCCTCAGGTGGCACCATATTTTCACACCAAATCAAAGTCTTATGGGAATGGTTAAGAAGTTTGTTAAGAGTCCTTAAACTACAGTATAGGATAACACAGGGTTTAATAGGCGTGCAGTGTTAAATGCTAGCTCTGATAAGTCAGCACCTCTCATTCTTGGAAAGTCTCAAACAAATGGAAAACTGCACTTTGGACTGTCCCTTGACTGCTTGAACACTAAAAAAAAGTGACATTTGTAGAGCAGTAATGGGCACTGGTCTCAAATTTTGTTTTCATCTGCCTCTGTTCCAAACTCCAACCGCTCCAAGGGTTTGTCAAATTTACAAAATACCTGTGACTCCAGCTGATTAACTTTGCTGATCACTGGATTGCTTGTAACTGGACAAACAGAATTTAACTTAATGGGTCATTAATTAAAACTGTTCACAGTGTGTGATTATCCAGAAGAACCAGGATATTAGTTTCTGGAAAGGCGATTTGCTGTAAAGTTTTTTTAATCACTTTCCAGTGCTTTGAGCACCACAGACAAATTTTCATTCTCTGGTGTAGCAGAAGACAAGTCACAAATGGATGCTGAACACATAAAAGCAAAACTATTTACAAGGCCAGACAACATTAAGGCTTCGTAGAAAAAAATCCTGCTTTTGTAATTCGGCTGAACATTATAGTCAAGCTTTCATCCAAGATTAAAAAAAAACCTGTACATAACACTCCTGTCTTTTCTTTTCCAGTCATCTTACCCGATAGTAATCTGTGCTGTAGATGTCTCGGGACATGCCAAAGTCTCCGATTTTGACCACTAGGCCCTCCCCCACCAGACAATTGCGAGTTGCCAGGTCGCGGTGGACAAAGTGCAGTGATGCCAGGTAGACCATGCCCGAGGCGATCTGGGCGGCGATGTGGAGCATCTGAGGCAGAGTGAGCTGACCCAGCGGGGGCATCTTCGACTCCTCCAGGATGCGAGCGTCAGGGCCATGAGCTCTGCGGGAGCAACACAAGGAATTTTGAGTGTTTTTGGACCTAGGCAGCTTGATTCTACATCTATTCCACATCTTATTATAATGGTATGTCTTCTCTATTAAGAGAGTTGACAGGGAAATATGTGAGATAGGAAAGGGACAATTAGACCCAGGCAATGTAAGAAGTATTTAGATCCTCTACTTAAGTTAAAGTACTAACACAACAATGTGAAATCAATTACAATTAAGATTCCTGCATTCAAAATCCTATTACAAAATTCTACTTAAGTGAAAGTAAAAGACTGTTACTGACTGACTTAACTACTTTATATACAGTTAGGTAGTTTAGTCCAGTGGCTCCCAACCCAGGCGTTGTGCCCCTCCAAAGGGTCACAAGATAAATCTGAGGGGTCTTGAGATGATTAATGGCAAAGAAAACATTTGTATTCATTCATTGTTCTAATCTTTACTTTTTGTGCAATAATGGATCAGTTAACCTCACTAGAACTTGAACAATTCAACAAAACCATTTAAGGAATCTTTCTGGTGGAACTGCTAACAACTCTGAAACAAGATAAGAGGCTCCAACTAGACATTTTGTTTTTATAAGGAGTCACAATCCCAAAAGCTTACAAATCACTGGTTTAACCTATAACAATGCTCTTTCTAAAATGTTCTATCTGAAGTTTTTCATGCACACTCTACCATTCAAATAAATATAGTGGAGTATAAAGTATATCATTTCCCTCTGAAATGTGATGGTGTAAAAATATAACTAGCATGAAATGGAAATGCTCAAGTAAAAGTACTCAAAAAAGTACAGTACTTTACTAAATTTACTTTTCCACATATGGACTGGAGTGGAGCAGTTAGGCCCTGGTGGTTTTATTTCCACCACTAAACTGCCATGTGGATTGTGATTGGCACCTCTGGGTGACACAGGATGTCGTATGTTTTGTGTCAAATCTGTATGTTTTTATTATCAAAGTTAAATAATCTTAGATTGTTAAACCTGTCCCATGACCCTGTACGCAGGATAAGCAGTTGACGATGGATGGATGGATGGATGGATGGATGTTAAACCTGTGTAAAGCCATCTGGATTTTCTTAAGTTGCTCATTCACACACAAGCACAAACACATCACTGCCATCGTTTTTCCCTTTTTTATTTAGTTATTATCATAGTTTTATATTTACATATAAAACTTAGTGGGGCTTGAAGCATTAAACCTGTCACAAAACCTGTCTTGAAAATAATATAGTGAGCCTTTTTTATGAGGTCTGTATATAATGTATGAAATTTGTGACGTTTCAGCTTTTGAGGTCAGACATGTTCAAGAGATTTTTGCTTATCGCTGGTAGATGACAAATTATTTTTCTTATTTGTCAAAGGGAATCTTTGCAGTACTGTGGGATTATAATCATATAGACTGAATTGGTTTTATTTTCTGCTTTGAAGCTGAACTCCTGACCACTGTAAAGTGCACAAACACACAGATTTCCATTTGAACACAACATGCTGGCCTCTGCTATCTTTCTCTGTTCCTATTGGCTGTTTAGATTAATCAAGTGCTGGGATTGGGCTCCTAATATGAGCTCCCAGTATGTTAGTTACTATGGAATCAACCTTGAGTGACCTGAAGGACAAAGACCTCAGCATGCAATCTGCAGATTGAACATTTCTGATGTATATGAGCTATTGAGAGCATTACAGACATGGTTGGCGTGACCACACCATAATAAAGCCATTTAACAGTGACGGTTAATAGAAAACATAAGGCTTGTAATACGCCTACAATTGATTTGCAATAATGCAATTCGGAGATGCAGAGCACATTGACTCCCAGTTGTTCTTGTGGATCATAAACACCCACTCTCACATCTAACTCCAGCCTAAATGAGCAAATCACAGATGATATGTCTCCATCCATCCTAATATTACTCCTCTCCACTTTGTCCCCTCCTTACAAAGGAAGTTGTCTATACAATCACTATTAGTTTAAAAGGCAGGTGGCAGGGTGGGAAAGCAGCTGCATTGTGGGGGCCCTCAGACGTTTCTCCCATTCTGTCTGCTGGAAATGTGATTTCCATCTATTGGTGAACATATATCTCAGGCAAAGTCTGTGAGCATGCATGTGTGTTTATCTGTGTGTTTTCATTCCCAATCTGTCTCCTGTGGAGGACACCTGGCAGACAGCATCAACTGTGTCTGCCCTAATAGTTTTTTCGGATGGTTTCCCAGGTGCCAAGTGAGGTCTAATAGGTCAACACTGCCTCAGTCCTCAGTGAGTCCTTCAGCTCCCTACAGAGGTTTCAGTACTTACATGGTTTTAGATTACAATTTAAACGATTTAAATAACATATTGTAAATATTTTCCATCACCATGTTACACAATAAATCAAGTGTTATTAACTTCTTTGCTAATTAGCTTCTGCTTGAGATATCACATTAGTTCAGTGTAGGTTCAAGGAAATTTGTCTATTTCTACTTAGGTGCTGAATCTGGTCATTTACCATGCCCAACAATATTCCAATAAAATCCTGCCACATTTGAATTTTGCTCTATTTTCCAATATTATATGAGGACATGTTGTAAATAATAAAGTATATTCACCCCGTGCCTTGACATACTGTGAATCAAATTTACACTGAACAAGAAACCTTCCTGCAACTGCAACTTTTTAATTCTGATTTAGCAAAAGCAAAATGTTCTTCTATACAATTCACTGCTGCATCCATTTTCTGTGACATTAGGGTGATAAAAATTCTAAGTGGGGGGGAAAGGAGGATAAATGATGGAGTAAAAACTAATCATTACTGATATTACGAAGTGTATGAGTCAATTTAGTAGAAAACAGTAAGCAATTTCTCCTTGAATTTCCACTTGTGAAAAAGACATCAAAGTTACACGACACTGAAACGAATGACAGACTCTAGGTCTAAATAAATAAGCACCATGCAAATAGAACCAAACACTTCCACAGCCAGTATGGAAGTCTACTTCATGCATTTCTATTTAAACACAGAATCCACACATATGCTCAGTGACCACTGGAACCACACAGTCCACTGACCTTAGCTGAATGGGTTTAACCTTTAAGCACACATCAGGTTTGACTGATACTGTACTCAGTGTCTTTAAAGAGCTGGAGTTACTTATCAGGGTGTTGGAGGTTCCTATTTTCAACGGTACAATGGAAAAACTCACATAGCCGTAGGACACAGATTCAGATTTTTAACATCTGGTGGTTAAATGCCTTAAAAGGCACTTGCTGAAGGGAGGGAGGAAAATGGGAAGTGGCTTAATCACTGCATCACTTAGAGGCCAAAAAGGATGAATTCAGACAATTAGGCAATAGGCCCTCAATAGGACATTTGAACATGTAACAGTAGGAAAAAAACAGGGGTTAATTAGGGCTACCACTAACAATAATTTTTATTATTGATTAATTAAATTAAATTAAATTGGGACTATTTAGTCATATATTGTGCACTGCGCTGTATCTTGTCTTAATACTGTTATGTCTTATGTAACGCACTTTGACGTACCTTGTTGTTAATGTTGTGCTATACAAATAATTTGCCTTGTCGGATTTGCAGATTTTCACAATGAACTGATCGTCTGTTTGGTTTATGAAATGATAGAAAACTGTGGAAAAATGTGACCATCACAGTAGCCCGAAGCTCAAGTTCTGATATTTAAATTGCTGAAACGCAAAGATATTCAGCCTCATATCAAAGAAGAAAAATATCAATTATTCACATTTGCAAAGCTAGAAACAGTGAATTTTTGCTTTCATTTTAGCTTTAAAAAAATTTATCAATCACACAAAGTGTTGCATGTTAACTTTCTGTAAATTGACTAATTGACTAATGGTTTCACATCTAGTGTAATTAATAAAATTTACAATGGCTCCATTTTCCATTTAGCTCCTGGCCTACTGTAACACTATGCTTGAATAGAGCCACCATAAATATTCTTAGGAACACCTGTGCTTTTCCCACTAGGACAAAGTCAAAATGTCTGCTGTGAAAACGGCCTCTAACTGATTTTGGTGATGTGATACTGGGGCTTGAAAATAATAATGTTATAGAATGTCCTATTTGATGCACATTAAGGAAACCTCTACTTTCAACCATTATCTGTACTGGGTTATTGAGATGAGGAATACAGAAAGCCTAATATTGTGAAAAGTCTTCCACATGTAATTCAGGTTCCTGATCATATTAACTACTGAATAGGTCAACATTTTGTTTAGAAGGGATGGAAGATTTGGGAATTGAACTCATGACCCTCAGGTCATTATGAGCAGGTTTACTCCATACCGAAGAAATCGGTTGAGGTCTCCATGCCTCATGTATTCGAATACCATGGCCAGCGGCTCTCCGTCGGTACAGACGCCGTAGAATCGCACAATGTGCTGGTGTTGGAGCACCGTCAGCAGCTCCGCCTCCCTCTGGAAATCCTGCCGGGTTGACTCGTTGGCGTCCTTTAGAGTCTGTGGCACACAATAGGTTTATTAAGGGGTTATTGGGCTAAAAGTAAAAGTAAACCGTTTTAAAAGCAACCAACAGTGAGGAGTGTAATAAAAGGCAATTGAGTCCTTGCTATGCTCCTGCTTACTGGATGAGTGATGATGTGTTGCAATAAAAGCATAAGTCTGATTAATGGGATGATAAATCTGAGCAGAGCCAGATTCATCGTCTTGTTTTTATTCGCTGTGGTTTGCATTAACCTGTTGTAACGTGAGCTGTGTATTAAACCACCTGACTGTCCTCAGCAGTAACGTCTCACTCTGAAACCACAGGATGTTATTTCAGTATACGGACGATCCAAGTATAAGTGTAGTACTTACTTTTACTTATGCTGCTGTTTTTTTTAAACTAACTGTAACTATCCTTATTAAGTACAATTTCAAACAGTTTTTACCTGTATTTCAGCAAAAGTCTATATTAATAAATTCACACTAACAGTGAAAGTGACTTTGAGACAGTGGAGAGTGACAGTGTAAATTCACTCACCTTGATGGCGACCAGCATCTTGTCGCTGTCAGGGCTGAGGTTGGCACACTCTGCCAGGTAGACTTTGCCAAATGCTCCTTCACCCAGCTCCCACTTCAACACAATGTCCTGCCGTTTAATATGCTGGACACCTGATCATAAAGTACAGAAAATATTTGAGAATCTGGGTCAAAACGTCTGAATTACAGACATAAATAAATAAATAAATGACCAAAACACCCCACATGAAGAAGTGGCATAAAAAAGGTGGTGTAAAAAATAACACCAACAGTCAAGACACTAGAGTTTCATTAAATTTGGGGAATTCAGCATGAATGTGCATTCCGTTAAAAAAACATCATACATCAGCAAAGTGGAAACAAGTGGAAGCAAGCTCACACTCACACATGTCTTTCTCCTTGATGATCCCACAGAAGTACTGTGGATTTTCTACAAAGCTGGATAAACCAGAGTCTTCATCTGAGGAAGGTGGGCTTGTTCCAAAGTTCATGAAACGAAGCGACACTGCCAGGTCATCCTCAGTGCCCAAAACTGATGAACCTAGTGATAGGAGGGAGAAAGCAAACAAGCAAAACTGAAAGACATGTAACACCTAATCAGCCTGCTACCATTTGTGATTGCAGTGGCCATTAAAAGAAAATTCAGAACCAATTTTTTCTCCTTCCAGGAATTGACGTTCTCCACAACCAACTTGTTGCATATTTGTTGGTACCATGGTGACAGATGATGACAAGCTCTAATAATCACCGTCATCAGCCATACAGCAATCAGGCAACATTGAACTGAAAAAATGATCATATAGGAAGCCTGAATGGTTAGCAACCCCTGACTACAGTGCGTATTAAAAGCCAAACGAGTGGGGCCCAAATTGTAAAACCCCACTCAGCAAGGCAAACCACAGAACCCCCAGAGTACAACACGGTAGAAAATGGAACAACAAAGAGAGAGCACAGAGGCGATGGAGGGAAGGAAAGACGGAGCAGGGTCCACTTAGGCAATCAGGCCCACTTATGCACTTTGAGAGCGAGAAGGGTGTATGTGTGTGTAGGGGGTTGGGTCCGAGCAGAGCTATATCAGGTCTAGCTGTTCGTCCATCCATCCATCTTCTTTAATGGCCCTCACCACGTGGCGGTGGCCAAGGGAGGTTTCTGCTGCCATTCTCATGCAGTAATTAAGGCACTTTAGCTGCCTGTGTGCAAAGTTATAGCTTGTGAAAATCCTACACTAGTCAGTCTCTCTTCCTTCTGAGAGCCTGACAGAAATATCTGCGATTTGAAACAATAATTTGGCAAAATGTTTGTTTATGGTTTATTTTCTTTAATCTATGCCCCTTCAGATTGTGGTTCTAAGCTGAGCCACTGTCACTGCGTTCCTTTTATTACACTAGTACAGCAAAGCAATAAAACAGAGATATAAGGAATTTATATAATTCGCGCAATAGCCTTTCTTAAAAAGTTTCACTCCAAACCCGTTGTAACAAAGAAATCTAGATAACTTTCAGTGGTTACCAATTCAGTTAATGTTGGAGCCATACTGAGTTATTTAATTCAAATATGAAAACGGATATTTTGAGTTAATTTTTGATGCTGTGATTTATGAATTAGGAGGAAATGTTCACATTGCTTATTGACCTGCTCCTCCTTGATTCTGCGTCTACAGGGCGCTGATAGGTTGCCCTTAAGTAGACTATTGGAAGGGCCTGCGGATGAGTTAGATGGTGGAGAGCCAACAGTTTTCTGACCGCAGCGCTTCACAATAGTTGTATAAATTATGTGTTGGTCTTTTTATTTAAGTTCCTTATTTGTTTTTCGTTGTTGGAAAGTCAACCAGAGTATAGAGAAATAAACACATCAGTTAAAACGAACTGACTATCTCCGTGTGTGCTTTTGAAGTGTGTGTGTCGGCGACTCCCCACCTGACTCCAGGTGACTCCTCAGAAATGTTTGTCAGTCACTTCAGTTAAACTTGCTGAAGAATGTTTTCATGACAGTGATCAAGCTGATCAAAAGAGTACTTATTTTAATACCACACTCCTGTATGTATGATACCATTCCCATATCCGTGAGTTAACGATGGAGCTACAGAAGGACTGCTGAGATGCCAAAACTGTGTGTATGGTGCATGGAACACATGACATGACAGAAGTGAGTATGTGAGTGTGCCAGATGTATTTAATATGCCTGACCATCCTCGCAGGGTCAAGTTTGAACCTTAGTTAGTCATGTATGTAGACTGCAATTATGGGCAAAAGATAAATGGTGTTTGGCAAGAACATGAAGATTGAATGTCCAAAAACATTTTTTTTTGTCTGCCTGGATCTTCCCATCTTAGCAAAGCTAATTCTGCTACTTAAAACAAATGCGGGGCAGGTGCGTAAAGAGGGGCGCGATTGACCCTCGCTACTTCCTATCCCTCTTCTTCCAGTGCCCTTGCTTGGACCACAGCCATCTTCAGCCTTTATTTTGATCTCAACTACACACCTGTAAAGTGTTTTTATACGTATTAGACAAATGAAATACAACATGTTATTAGTGAGCTTTAAAAATGCTAGTAGGCTGATTTTTTAGCTTTGGACAGAACAACTCTAGCTGTTTCCCCTTGTCCACTTTTTATGGTTTGCTAAGCTTGCTTGCTGACTCTAGCTTCATATTTAGCATACAGACACAAGAGCGGTATAGATCTTCTCATCTAACTCTCAGTAACAAAGAGAGTATTTCCCAAAATATCAAACTATAACTTTAATCAACTTGCTGCTAAATCATGTGTGTAGTAAATGAAATAATGTGTGATAACTTACGGTGAATACCAAACTTGGAATGCTGGCCACACTTGTTAATCACCAGAACCATGATAAGAAAGAAAGTGCAGGCAAACACAGCAAAACCCACAGCCACAGACACCTGTTTAAACAAAGAAACACAGATTGGCCGTTATATTCACTAACATTATTGGTAGTCATCCTACATTTGTATTGGGAATGATGACGTGCAGACGTACCACAAAAACTCGACTCTCCGGGTTTTCTGTGACGTCCATGTCTGATTTGTTTGTAGGAACTGAGGGTCAGGAATGAGATTTGTTAAAGAAAAGTGACAGACCTCACATCAAGCCAATGCAGTGTTAAGTAAACATGCTGAGAGTAAAAATCCATTGAAGACTTACTTGGATCCACATCAATGACTGGCATGTGAGAAGCGAGAACACAAACACATTTATAAACACACGCTATGGAGAACCAAAGATGCAACCTGTGCGATTCAAGGGAGTACTGACTGTTTAGCGGCTTATCAAACATCCACACACACCCTGTTTCAGTATTAAACCTTTGCACTTCACCATCTGTGTATACATAATGTGAATGATTCTAAAATGCTACATGTATTATTACCACAATGTCCTGTATCCAATGAGCTTAAGTTCCAAACTTTTTCTTCTAAACAGATCTCTGTGTTCATGTATTAAATCAAATCATGCACCTTGTACAGCCTATAGCAATATTTACTTGACTTGCACTATTCGTTTACAAAGTACATGGCTGGGCATTGTACTGTACACTGTACATGTCATTATTATTAATTATATAATCCATCAATTTACTCCTGGACTATCGTATCGTTTTGATTCTATGTGACTGAAATGTGATTTACTTTTTCATGTTACTTCCCCCTTGCTGTTGTTAGTATTTGCGTTATGTAAAATGTTAGTGTAAACAATAACACTCAAATATACTTGGTGAAAGCAGTTCTGTTTGGTGTTTTTGCAGTTCAACACAACTCCATAGTCAGATCTATAAACTTATAAAACTATGTAAAGGCCTATTAAACTCACTTGTTCACTTCGTTTTTAAGGTGGATTATTGTAATAATAATAACTGATACACTATGTGCATTAAAATTATCATCAGAAGCTACTACTGCAAAAAGTGGAAGTAATGGTATGATACTTATTAAGTAATGAAGGATAATTGGTAACTTCTCAATATGATGCACCACTTTATTCAAGGGGGCACAGTTTACAAACTAATGTTTAAGTAATTAGTAATTAATGATTAGTAATTACTTTTGTGCTGCTTAACAGCTGATTCAGAGTTAACCAGAAATGACTCGTGAAGAAAGTGGTCACTGTGTTGATTTACATATGTTTTATATCTAATCATTGTTTCATCATCATGTTTTATTAACTTATAATTTTAATGATTCATCAATTATTGCTTCTGATTTGTTCCTTATTTCATGCTTTGTTGAGCAGTATTTTGTGGACCGTATTGTGAAGTGTTAATCAAGTCTTTGTTTCAACACTGGATCAAGCAGAGTTAAAATCATTAAGATACTCTGATAGATTTCTCTTTTAGTTATCTTAATGGCCTCCTCTCTTCTTTATGGGATACTGCTTGGAAAAAACATTCTGCAGCTACAAAATAGTTTCAGGAACTCACCTGGAATTATCCCCTCAGGATCCAGTGGATCAAAGGGGTTGTCCATGAAATTCCCAAAGGCAGTGGCCTCATCCCTTCCCAGTTTGTTCTGCACAATCAGAGTGTAGTGGCCATTGTTGATGTGGGTAGGCTTGTTGAGGAAGAGACAACCGTGTATCACTGATCCGTCACCTGAGTCATGGATGAGCTGGATGTATGTATAGATGCTCATTTTGAGTTTATTTCCATTGTACAGCCAGGTGATGTTTGGTTCAGGATTGCCATCTACAGCAAAGGGGAAACACCAGTGGTGCTGCGGCACAGCATCCTTCAGGAAGAGGATTTTGACAGGAACTGATGGGAGATGGGAGATGATAGGTTAGAGATGAGCAGTAGTGAATGGGTACCTCTCTTGTCTTACGCAACAAATGCTGACTAACCATGTTTAATGTACAACATCATTCCAGAGCTGCAAACTGGTAAACTGCCCCTGTATTGGTATTTCTAAACTGTAATGAAAACTAAGAAAGACACTTAAGCAAATACCTTCTTTTGCTTTCTAGCCCAGAGCAAGATGAGAATTGATACCACTCTCATGTGTTTATGGTAAATATGAAGCTACAGCCAGCAGGCATTTAGCTTAGCTTGGACTAGAAACAGGGCGAAACAGCCAACCTGGATCTGTCCAGAAGTAACAGAACTCGCCTACAAGCACTTCCAAAGCTACTCTAAAGTATGTGCTAAACTGTTTTCTCATCTAACTCTGCAAGAGCTGCAATGATTAGCCAATAGTAAGTGGTACTTAAATGTCGTAGTTGGTCAAGGTGGTTTATATACTGTTGTACTTAACTACAGTATTTGAATACATGTACTTTGTTACCTTCCACCACTGGTAATTGCCAATAAGTCAAATAATGAGTACAGATGCTCATTTAAATGCTCAAACCTACATGCTACAAATGTATGCTTAATGTGCACCTCTGTCATGTACAAAATAAAGTCAATGTTTGGTGAAATGTCCTATAGGTTCTCTCTGAGTTTCCATGAATCAATGTTCTCCATCTGTACTGCAAACATGTGCTGACCTGCTATGAATAATGAATCCTGAATCCTGGTCGTCGTTGTGCACCCGACCACAAAAGCTACCTGGAAGCTCAGCTGAACACAAAATTACAGGAAACGGCTCTGTTTAGATCGAACACGACTCTCAAGTGCAGAGACCCCTCATCCTGCAAAGGCCATTCTGCTCCTCTTAACCCATGACCCAGCCTCCAGAAAGTGCTGTGCTAAGGGTATTCTGGGGCATTTGTCTCTTTACCCAGGGCAAGCTGAAGTCTGTTACACTGAGTGAAGATTAGCGCTGTTTGTCACATTTAATTAATCATCCATTAGCAACCTCTACTAATGTTACAAAAGCTATTTCCCTGCAGGGGTTAAAAGGAAGGCTAGAATTATGTTTAATTGAGCCTGCCAGTTGTCAGACATTGCAGAATTAAACAATGAACATTTTTTTAAAAATGTGGCAAATACACAAAACGGTTCTTGGCATCAGTCCAGGCAGATTCATAGTTAACTAGAACCTTTGAATAAAAAATATAACTTTTTGTGATGGTGGCTATTGATCAAACTTATGAACAGCTCTGAATTCACCTTTTAACTTTACAGTAAAAAAAACATTGCAAAAAAACATGATTTTGAAAAGCTCTTTTATGAAAGGGAAGCCGCACGAGTGCCATGAATCAATGGCACAGAGAGCCACTCAGCAGTACAAACCCACTGTTCTGGGAGGTAATTAAGAGTAATTAAAGGGCTAGCGGTTAACGAGTGTCCGTCCACTAGGGGGGCTGATGTTGATAGATTAGCTGCACTAACGCATTTACAGACTGCCAATCACTGCGGATGAAGCGGTTTTCCGGAGTAGGAGGGAAAAGTCCATTAGCACAGGCTCAAATCAGATCTTAGCACAGGTTATCAGCCCCATTTTCCTGATGTTCATTATCTGTCCCTTGATGCTTGTGCATTTGGCTTCAGCCGATTGGCGCCCCCGCTCTTTTTGGCTTTATTTTCTAATGAGTGTCACTGAGTTTGTGATATATGATATTGTTTGGGCAGTATTTTTTCAGTAATGTATCACTAATGCATCTGACTCTGTTTTCTGTGGGACCGCTGGGTGCTGTCATTCCTCAGTGTTCTTCAACTTCCAGATGCACTAATGCATCTGAAAGGAGAAAACAAAAGTGAACCTCGTGGGTCAAGTTGCAGCTGTAACTTAGAAGTATATGAGGTGAAGGAGTTCTTTAAGAGCAAGGCAAGGTTAGTTCACTCTCTTTTCTCCCTTCATTGTATCCCTGCATTAAATGGCAAGCCATACGTGCAGCACTTCACTCTAATTAGTTTAACACTTCTCACCAGTCGCTAGAGTGAGTGACAGATGACAAAGAGCTCCATTAGAGGCATGGTGGGTACATACTCGTATTTGTAGAGGGGGCATTTAGAAGAAATCAGTGCAGTGCAGTTTTCTTTTCTCTGGCCGTCCACCCTGCCTGCACTAGAAAAATGGCCCCAGTGTGCTCTCGCCCTAACCTCCATTAAGCCCGACGACTCATATTGAGCCTGTGAGCTTTCAAGAGTGTAGTTTTATTTTGCAGGTACTTACACTCAATGTCCAATTGCACCATTTCCTCCCCAGGCCCAGCTTGGTTCTCGGCCTCACAAGTTAGGTTGTGTAGGTTGTCGCTGGAGTTTACGTTGGTGAGGTACAGGACCAGCTGTAATGTAGAGCCCCAGATTTTCTCCTGCAGCAGCCGACGGCGCACACAAAGAGCAGAGGAGGAGGTTAATGCACCCGAGTCACAACTACATATGGATTACTTAGAGGTATAGACAAGATAGAGGGATGAAATGGAATCCAGTTTACTATACTGCAGATCAATAGATTACAGAACCCAACTGAACTTTATTTATAGGTTTTTAAGCACAGCACCACCGGGCTAAAGAGCTTTCCAGCACAGTGAAAAGAGCAGAAGATAAAGGAAATTAAAGAGTGATAAAATAAAATCTGAACTTTTAGAGAATCAACAGACAAGTGGCCTCAGGCAAATACAGCCACTAGCAACAACAATCAAACACGTTAAAAAGCCAGTGAGAGAAAGCACATTTTCAGGATGAAGCTTGAAAGCATTAAAAAAGTGAGATCAAATAAAAGAGGGAATTGAATGACATATTTCGGGGAGGCTACTGTATACTATAACCAAAACATGGAGTACTGGATCTGGAGACAGACAAGAGATCTCAGGTTTCTGACAGTGTGGTTTAAGAACCGGAGTTCAGAAATGTTGGGCAAGATGACTTGTAGTCAATCAAGAATTCTAACTCAATACTACAATTATTTTTCATTGGCCTTGTTCCAACATTTTTGACCACATTGATTGGAGATGGGATAAAGAAGTCCCATAAGTCTGGTGATTTTCAATTTTTTTATTGTCTACAAATTCCATGAAAAGACCAAAATCAATCAGTATCACAGTTGGAGGTCATTGATGTGTTTATATAATATAACAGTTTCTGGGCAATGATGGAGCTTGATGGCACGGAGGAATAAGATATATCAGGCTTTGGCTACACAGACAATAGTTGTTGGTAGAATACATTTATTGTTGGTTTTGGTCTTTTTATGGGATTTGTTGACAAAATAATTTGGACATTTTTGAACAATAAGAACAATATAAACAATGAGCTAAAGTAGTCTAATGACACCTAAATATTTAGGAAATGAATGTGTGAATTTGCCTCAAGGGGCTTTAGAATCTGTACAGCATTTTGTAAAATGTTATTTTGTTAATATCTGTATGACACATACATACGTACATAAATATTATTTATTACCTTGGTAGAGAAGCGAGAGTGAAGCTCTTCAGTTCGCCATCTCACAATAGGAGTGGGACTTCCTGTCACATGACACTCAAATGTCAGGTTTCCTCCCTCTTGAATTTTATTTTGGGAGGAGACAATAGTCACCTCAGGCAGACCTGAGATCAGCAAAGGGGACAGCGTGAGCACATAGCAATGAGCTCAGTTTGCTAGTGTGAAAGTACAACTAAGTACCATGTTTCCTGGCAACAAGACTTTCCTACTGTATGTCATTAAAACAACAATGCTGAGCCAATTTCTTCCATGCATTTCACTGCACCTGCTAGTTGAAGGCATTAATATACAGAAAACAAATATTTTTTCCTTTTCAAACCAGTTGAACGAAGCTGCGTTGTTTCAAACATTTTTACACTTCATGAGAGGGAGACTAAAAATGTCCTGAACATCCAATTGTTGAAGTCAGATTTAATACGAGCACAGAGAATCTTTCTACTTTCTAGTGTCAAACACATAAAGTACATCATTCAACACAGCGAAAGTCGAACATCTTAGCTATGCAACAATAAGCAAAACACATTTTGAAATGGAGGGTGACTTTAAATGTATTTAAAAATGTATGAGATTTGATCATATATTGAATGTGCATTACTAACATCACAATACAGTGCAAAAAGAAGTTCAAATATCATAATGAAAGCCAAACTCACTGCAGTTATCTATCACCAAAGAGTTGAGGGGTACTTCTTGATCATTGGAGAAACAAGATAACATTTGGTTGTCCAGGTCACCACGTTCGTAACGCTGCCACTGCTGGAGCCAATGGAGGTCACATGAACAAACAAGAGGGTTGTCCCTCAAAACCCTGAAGAGAAAAAATTGGAAATTTGAATTACTTTTGGTTTGATTTCTCTGACAGAAACATACAGGAAAGACAAGAGTTTCAACAAGTCACTTTTTAAGTTTATTTATCACAGACATGCTCTCTTTATGACATAGGTTAAACAGTATTCTCATTGTATGAACACATTGGGAGCTTTTTAGGTAGGATGAAATATCCTTTCAAACTTATTCCTTTTAAAACTGCTTATCCATTATATGACTAGAAGTATATACAATTTGGATTTTATATAAATCCATGAAGAATTTCAACTTTAGATATAAATTAATCTTTCTATCCCATACTTATTTTTCTTCAGCTTTCAAAAGCCACATGAGCCATAACGAGTGAAAAAGTTGCTGCCATGCACTGAAAAGAGTGCTGTCAATCAATTTGCAAAAAGCAGCAGTAGTTTCTTTTCCAAAACCTTACTAAGTATGTTCACCTGTGGATTAACCTCTGCAAAAGTGTGGTGAAAGCACAATGCTTTAAGACCACAAGAACACTGAAAGGCCTCCTAGTATAGAAATTAACCTTTAAGATCTTTGTATTTTACCTTCGCATCTTTTGTATTTTTACTTCCACACAGAGTATGTGCATAGAAATGTCAGCAGAGAGCACAATAGCCTCTTTCTTTCTGCAGAAATGCCCCCGGTTTGTCTTGTTTTAGAGCTGAAAAATACAGTTGCGCTTGGTAAATTAGATTAGCATCAGCTGTATTTGGTGATTATCAAATTGTGTTTGCCAAATTGAAAATATTTAATTTAGAACCACAAAAACAACTGTAAAACACAAATGGACTCTTTGACTAAGAATGTACTATCACAATTTGAGCTGTTGGGTCCAATAAATGTATCGAAAAGCTATATTAGTAAATAATTTTTGTGCCATTCACACATTTGGGGAGTCAGCAGGTGGTCAGGTGGCTCAGCCAGAGAAGGGCTCTGATGTGCATGCTTTTGACGAGAATTGCTGCTTTGCCATTTAAATTGAGAAAGGTCTAAATAATCTGACAACAAACAAACAGGTTTGTGGTTTGTCCTGAACGTCCCTGTGTTGGCATGTCATGCACTAATGTCCGTGTTGTCAAGGCTACAAGCTGCAGACCTGCTTTTTCAAGTCACTTAGCTAACTTGGGACTTATGGGGACTGTATGAAAATAATTTGGTTGGAGAAGGGGGAATAAACCTGTTCTTTCACTAAAAATCTGAAACACCCTTCTCTCTCTCTCTTATTTCAAAAGAATGTATTAATATTGAACTTGCACAACTCGTTTAACCATTTATCACTGAAAGATGCAAAGCACAACTAATTTAAGGTACTCTACCCCAATTTAAACATTTAATACCTCAATAGAACATTCATTTTGATAATGTGAGCCATCAACACACAGTCAAAGTAAAATGACAAATTGCCATATTCATGTCAAACAAATAATGGGTCCAGTTTAAAAAATATACTATAGGCAACCAGCAACTTTGAAGACTTAGTCTGCTAAATGAACAAATATTATGGCACTGAATGAGTGAGCTGGGCAGAGACAGTGGCAGATTAAGGTAGATTTAAGACTATTATGACATTTTTTTGTCTCCTTCTGTTGACATGCAGACCAATCATTAAATGATTTCCTCCTTTACAGACAACGTTTTTGAATGAATGAGTGTCCTCATTACATATTTAAATGAACTCACAGACTGAGCAGTGGTAGAAAATGAAACACCCTCCAGGAGATGTGTTCAAGAGAGTTTGATGCCAGGTTGCTATGAAACAAAGAGAGAAGACACATGATATTACAAACATTTGTTTTGCTGTCACGATATCACTACACAGGATGTAACACAACAGTAATTCAACCTACCTTGTACCTATCGTTCAGGAAAGCTTACATGTGGTACTTCTGTTTTGCCTATATTTTACTTTCCTAGTGCCACAATAGCTGTTTTTTAATAGTTTAACAGTCATGATTAGGTAATATTGTTTAAAATTTGTTTTGCAATCATGTCATTTGCACAAATGTTACTTTTAGAAAGAGTTTAAAGCTTTCTGGGGAAAAAAATTAACACTTTTCAGCCTAAATTAAAGAAAAAAATCTTGTCATTGTTGTAATCTAGTCCTGTTCTGCAGTGGAGTCACGCTGTGATTTGATTGCTCACATTCAGAGCAATGCTTGTGGAAAACATTAATGCATCCAAATGGGTTCTGATCAATTACTGTGGCAAGTATTTCATACCAGCCAGAAGTACACCTCGCAGTGTTTGCTTAGTGTTCAGTACATTAGGTGAATAGTCCAGAGTCACAAACACTTCTCAGAAGATGGACTTGCCCATCTAAACAGACTGAAAAAATAGACATTTATTTCTGTTTTTTTGTTTACAGTACTATTTAGCCATGCTATCTGCATGGCTCTGTTGATGGCAACATCAGTGGGTCGGTCAGCCCATCCACCACTTTAGTCCAGACTGAAATATCTCAAATATATTGGATGCATTGAAATGAAATGTTGTATTTGCGGTCCCCAGAGGATAAATCCACATGAGCATGGGGTTGACATGTGTGGTTTTATGTGAAATTTCTAAACTACCGGATGGATTGCCCTCAAACTTGGTACACACTTACTTGCTTAACATACAGCCACCAGAATTGATGTAGATGCTTAGCTTGCTAAAGTTTAAAATTTTAAAAAAAAATATCTATGAATGCAAACATTGTGAATACCATAATCGTACATCTAAAATTGGATATGTCATGTTTTCATTATTATTATGTGATAAATGAATGCAAAATATCTTTTTGTCAATCCTCTCAGGCCACTAAAATATCATGACAATGGTTCTCAAATGATCCTCAGACAGCCAAGGATCCTGGCTGTAAATAAACCTCCCTCAGAAGATGACAAAAAGCCACACTGGGGAACGAGCACATGGAAGCCAATACATATTCACTCTGGCAGGGCCATGGGTTCAAATACTTGTTTTCCTTGCTCTCAAAAGTTCATGTCAGATGGGTTAGCCATTGTGGCTTATCCATTACCAGCTCGATTCCTCTCAGGTCCACAGGGGAGAACAGAGCCGGGAATAGCAGCTCATTTTCTTCTGGCCATTTGTTTATTTTTTATATTCATTTTGTAGAAGATGATTGAGTTCCAGAAGGATTGTGGATAAAGAAGAGAGATAAGGAAGGTGGTCCAAGCTGACGAAGCCTCCATGTCCCCTGCTTAGTTTGATTATTGCTGTCCCTCTTAATCTCAGAAACACATCTGTCACACAGAAGCCCCTATACCCCACCAAACCCCGGCCCACCGTCTCCCTCCACAGTGAAATATTGATTAAGTGATAATGGACCCTTAGTGGAGTGTATTTATTATGCATCAGTTGTCGATAATCCGCCAAAGTGAGCGAGTAAAAGGTGACTGGTGGATGTCTTCTCTAATTTCTCAAGCTCACCCCGCCTACCTTACCACCACCACCCCCTATCTCTGGTCCTTGAAACCTGCCTGTCCTTAAGATAAACAACATCAGACATGTCGCACACACTCAGTAAAATGATGAGGACAAGATGGTGGCGATAAGGGTCAGCTGCTGATGAATAGACAGATTTGATTGTTCCAGTCGATAAGATGAGTATTATTTATTGTTGAGCCTGGATTTTAAGGCCAAGCTGTTCAGACTGAAATGATTCAGCTTTTAAAAAACTGAAGTGAAAAGGTTTCAATTTTACTACCAGACTGCTTGCTAATTTGTTTTCTAGATGACTATTGAAAAAAGGAGGTAGTTACTATTGAATAGATTCACACAACAATGGTATGTTTCTATGGTACAAGCAAATACTTTTTCAGTGACAACAGAATTAACTGACTTTAGGGCTGCAACTAAAGATTATTTTCACTATTGATTAATCTACTGGTTAGGTTTTTGATCAATCAATGACTGTTTAGTCTGTAAAATATCAGAAAATAGTGAAAAATGCTCTTTCCCAGAGCCCAATGTTACGTCTCCAAATGGCCTGATTTGTCTGACCAATAGTCGAAAAACCAAAGATATTCAACATACATAAACTGAGAAAAGCAGCAAATACTCATGTAGCAGAAACTAGAACTAATACTGAACTAATCGGTTCAAACTTGTTTTTATTTATTGTGGGATCCTATGTCACAAACAACTAGATGTTATGATATTTTTAACAATGATATACATAATATCCATCTAGGAAGACTACTAAATGCATTTTGTGGCTTCAGTATTGTAAATGAGCTCACAAATTTACCAGATCTGCGGATGAGTAATACAGCTTTTTGTCACTATGATTTTGAGACATGTGCAGCATTAAAGGGCTGGCTGAGCACTGACTGACAGTGACAAATGGGCTGACCCATACACAAGTCAAAACATGACAAAGGGCAAAACAATCCTGTTGTATCGACGACACTTACACATACTGGAGCTTGAGGTTGTGCTGGAAGGCGTTGGCAGAGATGAGCCTCAGCTTACATGATGTGACTGTGCTGGAGAAGGGGAGAGACAGCACAATAAACATAAAAACAAAATTTTTGCTTTAGAAAGAAAGCATGTTTTAATGCTGAGTTTTATCAGAAATACTGAAACTTGTGTGAGTTTGTATGAGACAGTTTTTTTCAAAATTATACATTCCCATTGCTTGTTTTGTGCGACCAGTCCAAAAATCTTATCTTCAATTTACTTTTATAAAACCAGTGAGTTTTTGGCTTAAATGATTAATCTATTATTCAAATATTTAGCCGATTCATCACCTAATCAATTCATTGGCAAAATATTTCAGCTCTATCTAAATATTAGTTTGTTAGATAAGTATGACTTTTATCTATCAAACATTTCACTACTGAAGTAATGAGAGATTTTAATCTCCTTCAGAAACTTTTTCAGATGGTGGCCAAAAGTATGGGGACACCCAATACACTTTTGTGGACTTATGTGTTGCTGTTTTTTCATGGATTGGTCAAGGCCCTTTAGTTCTACTTAGGGAAACCTTTAATTTCCACAGTGTACAACTATATTTTGGACAATAGTGTGCTCCCAACTTTGTGGAAAGTGGTCCATTAAGAAACGGCTTTCCCAATTTGGTGTGGAAGAACTTGACTAGCCTGTACAGAACCACAACCAGTACACAACCTCTCTAATGCTTTTGTGGCATAATGTGAGTAAATCCCTGCAGCCAGGTTCCAAGATATTGCTTAGAGCCTTTACTGTAGAGTGGAGGCTGATAAATATCCATGGTTTTGGAATGAGTTGTTATACAATCACATATGGTTCTAATGTTCAGGTGTCCACATACTTTTGGTTAAAAATTTAAGTAAATTCACACTCAGAATCGTAAATGAGGTAGCCTACAACACAGCCTACTGTATGTTCAAATTAATATAACTGAGAGAGCCAAGTGAACTGAATGTGAGACAATATGGACAACTCTGAAATGGTTATAAGGAGTAAGTGACTGTAAACTGTGATTTTCTAATCAAAGCCTGTCAAGCTTTGGATTTCTCCACATGTTAAACCCAGTAACAACCCTTGTCTTTAACCAGAAACATAAGTCTTGCTCAAGGACAATTCTCGCTCTGAAATCTGGTGAGAGGTGTTGTTGCAGGAAGACGCTGGCTGAAACGTGACTTGTGATTCAATTTTGGAGAGAGGAGTTTGTTATGTACATAGAGGAACTGCTAGCAAGACTTTATTTCCTAAATCATGGTTGAATGTTTAGCTGATTTCAACAATGTAGAGGAGTGGATGTCCGCATTTATTTCAGCCAGAGTATGCTGATGAAGAGCTCCTAGAAATTGACTCTGAGTAATAATAATAAAAAAAAAGACTCTTACTCGCATTTCCACAGTCGTCTTCCTGCAACAACTCGCCTCTCACCAAATTTCAGAGTGAGAACTGTCCTTTAGTGAGACTTCCGTTTTTTTGTTAAAAACAAGTGCTGTTAGCGGGTGTTACTTGGTCAGTCACTTGTTTTAACAGTGTGAGCCTGTAGTTGTAGGCAAAATGAAACATTTTTTGTGGGCGCAATTGCCCCAAGAATTAAGTTGCAGCCACTGCCCAGATTTTAAAATACCTAAATTAACTTTTAATTAGCCAGTTAGCTAGAGCTGCTGAAATCTGCCAGCCAAGTCAAAACAGCTGCTCCCAAACCTGCTTTTAGTTTGTCTGAAATTAAAGATCCATTATTTTTTTAAAAACTATTAAGAGTTTTAAATATGCCACGTTAACTGCACGTGTGAGGGGGCGAAAAGCTTGGCAGGTGTAACTAACTAAGTGCTTATTAACAGTCAATTTTATGGAATGACATATTGTATTGAGAATTGAACTTATGGAACAAATAATTAGTCTCTACAATGCAGAAAACAAAACATTATGTTGGCCTGCTACCTGGAAGCATGAACTGTTAAACATTTGTTGTACAGTAAATTGTAAGAAAAACATTACTTACAGGTTTTTCAGCTCTCTGTAGTTTACAAGATCAATTTCTGTTATATTCTCCAGGCCTGCTTGGTTTTCTATGTAACTAGTTAATAAAAAGAAAGAGAGAGTTACAAGGTCAAAACATAAATGTACACCTGTACCCTTTTATTGTATAGATGTTCAATTAAGCCCAGTGAAAATAACAGAAAACAGATGAAAAAGACAGATAACACTTGAAAATAAGTGAATTAATCCCCCATATACACAAAAATGAAGGAGATGAGTTTATCAACATTTGTGATTATTATTTAGAATTAACTGGACAACGAAAAAACAGATTTGACATTTTTTAAAACCGACGACAAGACCACTAAAAACAGTAAAATTAAATCATAGAAATGCCAGTCTACTGATGATGACATGCCATACTAAACACAAAAAGCAGAAATTGAGTTAGTCACCTGTGTAATCCTGAGTAAACCTGTGTCAATAGCTAATTTCTACAACGATTAACCTCTTTTTAAAGGTATAATTTAGGTTTGGGAGAAGCAACAGGAAAAAAATGGAGAAAATAAGAAAATAAAGAAATGCATTAAAGAAGGATGGTCACATTTAAATTCAACCCCACTGACATGGGTCTGACCTCCTTGCCATTTACCGAACAACTAACAACTAACTAACAACTGATAACAAATCCAACCGAGATGTTTAGGGACCCAAAAACAGCAAAACTCATTTCAGAACTTAAACTACAGCTCATGTGAAAAAAAAATGCCTTCGAAGTGTAGACAAGGCTGATGGGAAATTTTTGTCCGGCCTACCTCAGAATAACTAGTGAGGTGTAGATCAATTCAGCACTCAACACAAGGACAGGGTGCTCTTTTCATGAGATGTTTGAATAGATGGCTTGATTGGACCTACCAAGGATCTCGCCGGAACAAACTGTCCACCCCATTCTTTGCCCTTCTCCACCTCTTATTACACCTCCACCCTCCGTACAATGTTGTCCATATAGTTCAGGAGGACTCTTCTTTGACCTGATTCAAATAATGAAGGATTTTGTCAATGTGAATGTCTTCAGTCCTCTCTTGAAACCTTCCCTTCTACCTAAAATGAACCAAATAATCGTAATAAAAAGAAAATGATGAAAAAAGAATAATTTTCAGGAGACGGCCTTGAGGTGATCACAAGATGATTGTGAAAATATAAAATATCTATGTGCATCAACTAGATAAAAAAACATTCATGTATTTTTGTGGCTGATAAGTGAGCAGGAAGTACTTAAAGTTTAGTTTGTTGGAGGCTAACCTAAAGGCAACATTTTATTGTTGCAGAACAAGCAAATTTCTAGTTTTTCAAATTCTAGAATTCTAGACATTCTAGTTTGCCAAGAAATGGTGTTGTTGTGATTTCAGCTATAGAACCTTCAATACTTTTATTATGTTTATCTACTGTATACTGTCTATTATCTATTGTCTGTGTTATTTTCTAAAATGTAAGGATGACTCATCCACTGCAAATTTACCTACGGGTAAAAGTAAAGTAACTTGAACCTGATAGTAGCAGGAGAGTTGTGAGTATCGCTGCCTGGAGCTGATGTGAGGGCTAGGCCATCTTTCCTCTCTGTTAGCTTTGCAGCAACAACTGAAGCGACAGTTTGCTAACCCGCTACATAGCTAACATTAGTTACATTATTTGCTGGGTCGTTGATTGCTCTCATGGTATTTGTCATACTTTTGGATTTCTCCAGAATTGCATAGTCCACCGTTAAATACAAAATATTTCTCACCAATCCAGGATTCATCAATATTTTTTTACCTGTATTTGTTCGTACTCTGAACAAATTTAGAACTGCCTCAGACCATGCACTCACAAATGATGTAGGCCTGACTGCCTTAGAAAATGTAAACACACACCTTTCAACTACATGCATACCATATTAAACACGTTCATTAAAAATGCTTTAATAGAAAACAAAATTTAACTAGAAAACTAATTTACCTCTAGGCAAACGTATGTCCTTATATAGAGAAATGGGGGTGCAGCAGTATGCTGATTGCAAATAGAGGGTATGCAACTGTCAATTTAGAATGATTCTGATTCATTAAAGTATGCATGGTGGTAAGAATAAAATTGGCTGCTGTCATAAATCCAGTGGTAATTTTGCGTTCACACTTATTCTGTACGCAAAGTCAGAACATTTCTACGTACATTTTGTGGGGCCCAGTGTCATTACTGCTCGATGCATCTCTTCTTCCTTGTCAAAACCCACAATGCAGCTTGACCGCTGACAATTTGGTCGATTCATGTGTGATTTGCTTGCAGCAGCTAAAGTAACCTTGAGCTGCTAGCCTCAAGCAGAGCGCGCACATCACTTGAGGTACAAGACTTTGTGCAGCTCCCTCTGGAGCCACAAAGGGCATTGCAAATTTTTCCACATATGTAGAAGTGACCTGTATACAGACTCTGATGTGTAAAATCTGCATTCACCTTAAAAGATCACCTCCAGAATTTTTTATGACATTTAAAAATCATCTGTTCTGAAACCACTATGAAACAGCAACGTGACTCCATGGATTGAAGTTAATAAGCACTTTCCACTAAATAAGGTTATTTTCAGGGAGTACTCCGCCAATATGCCGGCTCGCTGTACAGTATGAAATATAAAAGGTATGGAGCCAGAAAGACGGGTCAGATTTGATTCCCCTCTGAGCGGGGAATGTTGGTAGTAACACAGACGGAGCGATGTATGTGTGAAAAGCCACAGATGACATGCCGGTGTTGTGTTACATGTAATGGTGTTTTTCTGTCACTCTGCTGGTTCTAGAAAGCCGGATCACTAAGTGAAAGCGCACATGGTTGCAGTTGTGCCGCAAACTGTTATTTAGTATGATTTAGTGAATGCGACCTAGAGATCTACTGTTGGCAACATTAGCATTGTAGCTATAAGTTGGCGCCTTCAGTACAGCGCCGTTCAAGTGAAGCGGTAAATACTGTTCTGACCAACACTCTAAATTAATGATACTAATTGTTCAACCTCCACATCATCTCGTCACTTGTGCACATCATAAAAGCACTTTCTCATTGTTTTGAACAAATTGCAAATGACTTGACACACTGATGCAAATGATTATGTACAATTGTCTACTCTTTCCTGTATTATCAATTGCTTATGTCCTACTGATCACAATGGATTATACCAGTCTCTGTTGAATAATCTTACCCCCCAAAACATCTAGACATAAGTTCATTGCATTAGTCACTACATGCAATGGTTGAACACTTTATCAAAAATCAAAGTTAAAATACTTCATTCATATCCTTTGCCTACAAGTATATACTGTAGCTAAATGAAATGTTGTTTCTTAAGGACCATAAACAAAGTAAGAGTAGACCACAACAACATCACAATAGCAACACTCATACTCAATACCAGTAAACAGTAACAATACACAGTGAGAATATATGTGTGTATATATATATATATATATATATATATATGTATATATATAAATAAAATGATGATGAAAATGGGATAATTAATTTTAGGATAATTTCAAAGCAATTACCAGTGTCACTGGTTAGTTCAGTTGGTAGAGCACAGGGCTCAGTTTTATTAGTTTGATTCCTGTTCTTGTTGACTTTCTTTTTCTTCTTTTTTGTGTATTATCCTATTCAGCAAAATTGTTATGAAGAGATTGAAGGGAATACAATCGCACATTTCCCGACAGCTATTTCAAAGGTTCCGAAAGCCGTCATGGATGGATGTGGACCAAGAACGCAATGAGTCCAGCACGTGCTTTACAGTAACGTGAGCATGTGAAACAGTCTTTTAATAAGAATTTAGTCTTCAGCGAGAATTGAGCACACAACCTTAAACCTATAAGTCCTATGCTCTACCAAGTGAGCTAACCAACGATACAACATACCGCACTATAATTACCATTATGGTTATCTCGAAATCACGAGAAAATGATGAGTAAAAAAATATTTGATTAGGGCTTATATATATATATATATATGAATGTATATAGATAGACATTCTATATATGTCTATTGGAATTTTTTTGTAAATGTGTCCTGGGTTGATGAAGATGTCTGTTGTGATGTAGAAGAGAATCTGTGATACAACAGACCGGAACATCAGCCAAAGGGCTGTATCCCATGCAACAGTCCTGTCTCTTACTTTTCTTCTTACATATTACACATGACAATGACATGCTCTGTCAACAAATTACAGTACGAACAGTAAAAGCATATCTGTGATTCCTGTCCTCTCTCCTGCAATGTATAACTTTCTACTGGTGAAAGTGATATATGCCATACAAAAAAAGTGCAGCCTTGTGCATTTTCAATCATTGTCATCAAAATCTTAGCCAAAATGTACATCAGAAAATACTTGCAGAGCACACTGTCATATTGCCAAGATGGCTAAACATTTTGACTTGCTTGTTCATAAACAAGACACTTGTCGTTCTGATGGCACTGACAAGTTCAATGACATAAAGATTTGCTTTTGAGAGATAGACTAAGGATTTTGAGCAAGTCATGGGCTTTTGCAGGTAAACCACTGTGTTGTGCCGTTTGTACTACCTGTTTCGAGAAATGCACTTACTATTTTACAAATGTTAAGGATGATTCGAGAAATGCACCAAAGCGACTGAGAAAAACTGTAACAGGTAAAAGAAATACCTCTGAGCCAAAACCTCAGATTTACTCCTGTTCTGAACGCTCTGCTTTGAACATCTTTTTCTACTAAGGGCTCCGTTTGATGACCCACAGAGCTAGATGGAGCCAGTGTTACATATGTGGTCATTTGCTCCACACAGCCACTCCCAGTCTGTCTGTCTGTCAGCGGCAGCTGCAGCTTCTTTCAGACAGAGGCTGAAATGAAGCCCTAAATGAACGGCCAGTACAAGATAGAAAAATCTTTTTGAACTTTGAATCATGCAAAGCTGCTATACAGGGTAACAGAGCAATAATATAGGACTGGAGTATAATAGGTCTCCCTTAAACCAAACATTTGTTGAAATAAATGCTTTTAAATGGCATATTGTTGAGACACCACAGCAAGGTCTGAAGAGAACAGAAGATTCAAACTGGTTTCTAGTGGGTCATATAACAGATTAAGGCTAAAGCATGTTTAATGGTTTCTGAGGGTCCTGCTCCCTGGAAAAAGCATCAACAGTTGCTCCTGACATGCTGCCATTTCTGGTTACAGGGGATTTTGCAGTAATGATTATCACTTAACCAGAATAAAAGTTTTCTGTGTCAACTCTTACTGTTAGCTGCAAAGTAACGAGATAGATAGATAGATAGATAGATAGATAGATAGATAGATAGATAGATCATGGGGTGCATATGCTAAAGAAATACCTGCAGTAATGTCTAGTTGATGACAGCCACTTTCAGCAGTGCTAGTCTGCATTGTTTCAACCTTCCAGTTCTCTGTTTATCAGCTGCAGCACACAAACCTTTTTATTCATGTCTGATTGACCCACACAGCAATAATGTGATTACACGGCAGGTGGGCCCGGGATCACCCATCGCCCTTACTTATTGGATTGAGCCAAGTGGGTTGTATATCATCTATTGTTCCCGGGTGGGGGCACTGACTGGCAATTCACAAAATTGAATTTATAACTCAGGGTATGATGAATCCGGCCCCTGTTCTACAGTTAATGGCCCCTTGTTTGTTCTGCATATTGGCTGTATTCCCTTGCACTGCCAATATGGCAAAGTGTTGTTGTTTGCTGGCATGTAGAGCACCGTGGTAAACAGAAGCAGAGAAAGCCCGCTCACTTATTGATTGAATGGTCCAGAGAGAATGTCAAACCTCACCCGGAGCTCTACGAAACATGTTTAGCTGCAGGTACAAGGAAATACCTCCAAAGCAAGAGACAGGGGGATGGTGGTGGTGGTGGGGGTGGTGGTGGTGGTACAGGTGAATACAGGTGAATAGAGGCTGAAAGCAGCAGTAAATTGACTTGCTCCGCTAAAATAGCGTTTCGTAAATGTAGTTCCTTCTTAACAAGTGCTAATTGCTCATATCTGGGGACTGGAACAAAGAGAGAACAGCGTGGTGGTGCAGAGAGTGACATTTACTTTTCCATGTTGGAGCTGATGGTGGGTTGCATAATAATACAGCAGCCCTCTTTAAATCACAGGTGGTCAGTTTCTACCTCTCTTTCCATGCAAAGTTTAAAAAAGGCAATGTTAAATAACAGTCATCTTCCACAGAAGTGCTGTAGCTGAGTGAGAAGTCTCAGTTCATCTAAGCAATAACTTAGAAGAGTTTTATTCAAACACATTCGCCCAGGGATTGCCTGTCCATAACTATGTGATAATCAAAAATGTGACATGTATGGCTGTAAAGGACATTAAATTTGCCTCCAAACCACCACATCAAGTGAACATCATCAGCTGTCTTTTCTATTTCATCTATGGAGCACCAGTTGAACCACAGCAAAGGAACATGAATTATGTCAGAACGACCTCATTGGTACATGCAGGTCAGTGGATCGTTCATCAGAAATGGAATTTGCATTTGAGCCTCAAAAATTGAAAAATACTTTCTCCAGCTACTTAGATTACAACATGTGGATCTCCACCGTGAATGAAAGCATGTTACCTATACATGAAGTAATGATTTGTTAACTTTCAGGACATATTGCACATGTATCTTGTCCTTTTACATGTTGTAGATATCTTAAAGATGCAAAAAGCTTACTGCTTTATTAAAGTGGGAGCAGATAAAGAGTCACTCTCTGCCTCAAATGTGCTTCATCTTTGCCACAATTGCAATTAGCAGTAGAATTTGAAGTCACAGAGTGTGCTTTGATGGTATCTCCAGATTAGAATTTTAGTTTTTTTGAAAATTGACTCGAACCTGATGATCAAAAGTAGCACCACAGCAGACAGCAGAAAGACAATTAAAGGCACAGAGTTTTTCAAACTCTGATGACATCTGATAACTACCAGCTACAACATCCAAAGATACAACATTTCAGGTCAAAGTTTCCATCTCAGTGGAAACTATAATTGTGTTATGTTCTGTATTATGTTAAGGCCCAGATCTTGAACTTAGTAACATGCGACCAGATAAACTTGCAGCTTTCATAACATAAAAACACCAAAAAAAATGGAGTTGTGAGGTTTTCTGTTGTGGAGGGTTTCCACAACACTACAAGAACTGATAGTGCTGAGATCCTTTTGAAAACCCTGGGGGCTGGATTTGGCTAAAGCTAAAAACTTACTCACCACATGGTATGAAAACAGAGCAGAAGCTGACTATCTCAAATACAGAGAATTAAACAAAGCCTTGCAGATAATTAGCATTTTGTTCATTGTGATCTCTAGGGACTCGAGGCAGTTACTCTCCAATACTTTGCTGTAGTATTTTGCTGTAGTATTTTGGCAAGACATCTTCATTATCTCTTGCTAAACACAACTGGACAAACATACTGTGCTAACATAGTCCTACAAATGAATGTAACAAATGATGAGAAAAAACAAAAGACATATCTGCACCCAACTAATAAAAAAAAGTACAGTCATTGTAACAGCTCTCATCCATCGGACATAGATGATTCTGTATCACTCAATCAGAAAACCTTGCCAGTGATTGTAGACTAACTATGATTACTACATTTTATCACCTGGACTGGATTAAGAGATTCTCCAAAACAAGTGGACACAACATAACATTATCAACAAATATTGTTCTAAACAGAAACTTCAGAACAGATATCACATTAAAACCAAAACTCTGCCATAGAGACACTCCAAACTAATTCAAAACCAACCCAGAGTGAGATAATTAACACAAACACAGAAAATAAAGCTTGGAAAACTACCAACATCAAGGCATGTGAGCGCACCCGATACACTCATGTTCATTTAGAGCTACATGCAGAGGAGGTGACACATCATACTCACATCTCTGTCACGTTCTCGCTCTCCTGTGGTGCCAGAGCAGGGATGTTGGTGATACCATCGGGCTCCAGACACTGCAGCATGGCGAAAGAGCACCGGCAAGCTGACGGGCAGCCTCCCAAGGTGGGCATCGGTGCCAGGCTGAGCAGGGTGAGCACAAGGGGCAGGGGAAGTGCCAGGGCCGATGGTGCCACTGTCATGCTCAAAAAGGTTCTTTTCAGCACCAGCGGAGAGGTTTGGCAGCTGTAGTTGGAGTTAGTGTCTGTGTGGTTCACCTAATGAAGAACAGTCAGCGAGGAGAGGTGAGGAGCTTTCACACACAGAGGCTCTCCAGTGACTCTCTGGCAGGGCTGAGATCCCAGCTGGTCAGGGTCTGGTACTAAGCCACAGCTGTACTGAGCAGCAGGAGGGGCAGGCAGGCAGGCAGGCAGGCAAGGGGCCTCTAGGGACATGGTGGTGGGCTGCAGCCTCTCTCTTTCTCCCTCTCTCTTCCTCTCCTCCACGATAAAGGGAGGGGCAAGATAACAGGGCCCAGAGTCACCAGACACCTCGGAAAGCGAGAGGGGAAGAGGGAGGGGTTGGGGTGAAGGGTGTGTGTTGATGATGATGAGAGGAGATGGGATATGGTGATGGAGATCTCATCTGCTCCCCCTCGGGTGAGAGGTCTGCTGTCCCGCCAACAGCTCGAGGTGCACGCAGAGCCAAGAAGTCAGAGCTCTTGGGTGCCTGGATGGATGCACTCGCAATAACGCGACTGTAGCAACATCCTGCCGTATGGATGGATGGATCTCTCTGTCCTGGGAGAATTGATTGTTGAAAGGTTCATGATCGTTGAGACTTAGGAGGTCAGTGATGAATTTAATGTCTGTGGAAAAGTGGGAAGGCACTCTATTGTACCACCAGACCAGCTTCTTCCCTCTAAAAGACTCCTCAATTCATCCTCAGCACTCCACCATGTAAAATAATTTTATTTCCATGACTTATTGTTAATCCACCCATCTACTGTATATCATTTTTGTGAGTAGCATTAAAGGAACTACCACTTCATCTCATAATACAACCCTGTGTTGTAAAATGATAAATCTACCTTGTACCTTCTACTTTGTATCTGCAATCTCTCAGCCAGATTTAATAATACGAAAGAGAAGAAAAAGGACCGTATATCTCTGTTGTTTTTCATCACTAGATCAAATTCAGTGTTGTAAGCCTTAGAAGGCATGCACACAATTTGCATTTCGCTCAGTGTGATCTTAGCTCAATAGGCAATCCACTTTCACTCATTTCAAGTGGTATGTTGACTGATAGGTATGCAATACTTGGCTGTAGACCTTTTGCATTATCTCTTGATACACATAATAACACATTCCTTTTTATAAAAAACTATAAAAAAAAAAACTGTCCATCACAGGTCTGACAATGCTATGGAAGTGCAATGTTTAATTGGGCGTCTTTAGCTTTTGTAATGAGACAACACACTTGCTGAATCACTCAGCTCAAAACGTTGCTGATTTGGAGTTGAGGCGGAGATGTCACTGATGTCAGTCCACCCTTGAGGGTCCGTGAAAGGAAGATTTCTTGAGCCACGGATCTGAAGATGTTTCTATTCACACATCTGAGTGTACATGTGGATGGTTAGCATCCATGCATGAAGTGTAGTGGCATGTCTGGTCAGTGAACCCCTAGGCCTTGTGGTAGGCACAACATAAGTCTGTAATTTTTTGCAATAACAAATCATTAAAGGTGCATCCAAACCTATTCACACCAGAATTTGAAATGAATCATGCTGACTTTTCCAAAACCTGGCTTCCAGAGACCTTGATAGCCTGTTAAATGGTAAAGCCAGCATACAAAAGAAAATCACCCATCAGTCCGCTGGGACGTCAAGGGTCAATTGACAGACGAAGACAGCCAGGTACGGTTTCAGGTAGTCAACTATCCCTGGAAAAAAGCAAACTCTACAGCATCAAATCAAATGTCAAAAAATAAGGCTGGATCAATCTCAGTGTTTCTTTATTTGTTCAGCTCTATTATTTTTAACAAAGCAGTACAAGATTACACAAGATTGTGTAAATATTACTGTATTGCAGATTTATACATTCAAATTGCTTGTTTTATCTGACAGACAGCCATAAACCTAAATATATTCAATTGACAAAGATACAAAACAGAGAAAAGCATAAAATCAGCGCATTTGGGAAGCTGAGAACAGTACATGTTTGCTAAACAACTTCAATATTTGTTTGATCTTGACTAATTATTAACATAAACTGAAAAATATTTCCGAACCACATTATAGAACTATGTGAGTTTATAAGCAAGTTAAACCATGCTAGCTGGTGAACTCTACATAGCATCACTGTCCCCTCTAATCCTGTGACTTCTAACTTTAACTTACTGCAGATACCTGGGGCTGTCCATCACACATGTGTTCTTTACACGAACTGAGTCGATTTGTACCCATGGGACAAATACTATGCCGCACCCCCATTCCTCTTAGTCACTCCACACATGAGTAAGGTCATAGTGTCCTGACCACAATTACTAGCCATACGCTGAATAGCCATTTTTGCTGCTGTCGTCAGGATTATCTGGTAGCTTAATTACTCTTCCTTTTACCGCCCTTTTTCTTGGTCTTACCTCAGCATATAGTGTGAAGGGACAAGGCGCTTATTCGCAGAAAACGTGTTTGAGAGCTAAGGCAGACCACTTAAAAGATGAAACACTCAATGGGAAGCATTTGCTGCTAGGTGTAATTAACAGCATACAGGATAAACAAATAAAGATATACAAATTAGATCGTGTAAGTAGGTTGCAATGTTCTTTATCTGAACGTACTGTATTTATGTTCTTACAACTGCTTCCTTTAACTGTCCTGCATTATTTAGCAGTTTACTGTACAAACTATATATTCTTATAGATTATGTGAATTGGCTTGATTTCAAATGCAAAGTATAGACACATTCTGTGCATGAGTTTCTCAAGTATCTACAGATATTGTTGCATACTTGTAATATATGCATAATGAGGATATTCAACAGACATTTCACACACCCTCAGTATATCCTGTAAAATGTAAACACCTGCTAAAATCAAGCAATGTAACTTCGTAGGTCCACCACTGTAGTACAGTCTTTGGACTCTGGAATATCTCATTAACTATTGGATGTACTGCCATGGCACATATATGCATGGTGCCAAGAGGATGAACCCTAATGACGTTTGCGATCTCAAAAGTTGTAGTACCACCATGTGAGTGATATTTGTGTTACTATTTGATGGATTGCTATAACATTTGGTACAGACATTCAAACACACCCTTAGAATAATTTGTAATCACTTTGGTGATCCCCTGACTTGTCATAGTGCCAGACTCTTGTTCATTTATTGAGCATCTTTGGCTTGTATTCATAATTTTATGATTACTCTCTTTGCTCTATTTTAGTATACATCTTATTTTTCTCCACTTTCCCCACCAGTTGTACCACAATGCCTGCCTTATATCCAAATGAAAGATAAAGTACAGGAAGAAAGAATTTAGTTATCCTATGTTTATGTTTTCCACAAAACTTTGAAAACTGCAATTAATCATTTCATAGAAGGACTCTCTATCAAAAAATCAGCAGTTAGGTGGGACACACAATAAGTCCTGATAAAACAATAACCAATCAAGTAATTTATATGTACTGCCCACACACATCATCAGCTTCCTCTAGAGGTCCATGTTAACTTTATAAAGTTGACAACTAGGATAAAACATCCATTTAAATATGCCTGTTCTAAACAATAGATGAATATGAGACATTATATGAAGAGTTTTATTCAATGAGATATCCACCAGCTGAAAAATATGTCACCAATTCTTACATGATGAAAAATATCACTGAATATTGCCAATATTTCCCCAACCTTTTATGTTGCATTTTTGCAAACACTAATGTATGTGGCATAATTCTGTCTTTTGTCTCCTTATTTCCAAGTGACACAGCCTATTCAAATGTGACTGCTAGTTTACCATATTGTGCTCATTTCTGTCCATTCTTCTCTTTAAATCCACACAATTAATTTACAGATGATGTAATTTTCTATGAGCTATATCACAATTTTCAACCTCACGTCATGTGGTAGTAGTGGACATTTGACAGACAATAATGGCCTCATTTCTCCTTGGGTATTTAATAAGATTACTGTTCTTATGCATTATGGTGATTGATGGTCATATAAGGGGTTAATTGCAACACTTGGCTTTTGAATCAGTCTCCCCCTGTCCACTCACAGGGAGCAGTCACAGTTGCATCCTGTGCTGTAGATCTGACCATGTTACCAGCTGTATCTCCACCATGTGTCCCCAACTTCCTCTCTATATCTCTCTGGCACACAAACACAACCATGCAAGTGCACAATGCATAGCATCCTGGAATCAATCCATAAACTGAGATGAAAGGATAAGGCAAGATATCTCATGAAAAGACTAAAACCAATGGCAATTGAGAACTAACAAGTATCGCCATAGCCAAAGCCTGATATAACTTATTCCTCATCCAACATACACCGTCCTGCTGCTGTAAATACTCAGTCATACTAGTGACCAAATGTGTATTAATCCACAGCTGAAAATAGTCCCCTACAAATGTGTGGTTTCCTCTTGTTTGAGTGATGTTTACTAAAAACGTTTTTAGAAAATGATTTTGCCTAATTAGGATGCAAGCAGCAGCGTGGCTCTATGTCTGTCAGTCCACCACTAAGGTCCAGACTGGAATATCTAAACAACTATCCCACTGACTTTTCTTCTAGTGGCACCATGAGGATTTTTGTTTTTTTGTGAAATGTCTCAACTATTGGATTGATTGACATGAAATTTGGTTCAGACAAGAATGTTGCCCGCAGGATGAATTGTAATTACTTTGGTGATCCCGGACTTTTTCTCTAGTGCCACCATCAGGTCAAAAATATTATTTGTCCAATAGCACAATACTGGTTTGAGACAAAATACCTGCAAAACTAATGACATTCCTATCAGCCTCACCTCTGCGTTGGTTAGTGATAAGTAGCAAATGGTAAATCCTAAACTAGGGTGAGAGGGTAAATATCAAGATAACTTTAGACTATACACATGACAAGAGCAGAGTAAATTCAAGAAATCTGCATTTTAGCACTATTATTGTGAGCATATTGATGTTATCATTTAGCCCCGAGCACCACTGTGCCTAAGTACAGTCCCATAGAGCTTCTAGCGTTGCTGTACTGTTGATGACCAATGTGTTAAAAAAATTTGCATTAATCTAAGGATATGGGCAATGCAGTATTG